CTCCTCCGCCTCCTCCTCCGCCACCACCTCCGCCTCCTCCTCCGGCACCTCTGTCGTCGCCTCTGCCACCTCTGTCGTCGCCTCCGCCACCTCCTCCGCCACCTCCTCCGCCACCTCCTCCGCCGCCACCACCTCCGCCGCCACCTCCTCCGCCACCTCCTCCGCCACCTCCTCCGCCGCCACCACCTCCGCCGCCACCTCCTCTGCCACCTCCTCCGCCACCTCCTCCGCCGCCACCTCCTCCGCCACCTCCTCCGCCACCTCTTACGCCACCACCTCCGCCATCAGGCCCATCACCTCTGTCGTCGCCATCACCTCTGTCATCATCCGTAGGCGCGGGTGTCCCCAATGCAAAGAAATCCTCGTTGTCGCTGGATGAGCTGTCGAACAAGAAGTCTCCCTCGTCCCAGCGCTGGCGGGCCTTGCAGATGAAACCGTCCGCCCGCTGTCGACGAGTCCCAGATGCAGCAGTCCTGCCACCACGCCTCGTTCCTCCGACACCTGCTCGCCCGCGCCCGCTATGTTCACCTGCTCCGCCCTTGCGTCGCCTCCTGTCGGACTCCGCCACCCGACGCATGGCTCCCATACGGGAAATGATGCGCATCCTCTCTCTGGCGTGAGCCAACTCCTCCTCGGTCACCGTCGCCAATGCACCACTACCTCTGACGAGTTGCTCGTCCACTGCCACCTCCTCCTCCACATCTTGCCAATAATGCACCCAGTTCCCGAAAATATCGGGTCTGTCAGCAGGAGCATCGTCACACAATGACGGTCTATCAATGAGACTGAGGTTCCAGTGGCACCGCACGAGCTTCTCGGCCCGAGCAACCTCCAACCTGTTGCGTGACTTCGAATGAATGAAGCTCCATCGAGACCATGCTCTCTCGCATGGTGATGCAGTCGCCCAGATGCGAAGGATCCTACCGGCAAAGATGGCCGTGTGAGGGTACTTCGCACTCTTCGCGGACCAAAAACTGGCAGGGTGGTTGTAGTATGCCAACGATCGCCGCATGTTGACATCATCAAAAAGAGACTCCTTTGTATGGAACTTGTATACCGCCTTAAGGACCTCCTCGTGCTGCACCGATCCCTCTACATAGCCGAAGTGGACCAGGGCTTCGATCAATCCCACCTCCTGGTCGTCGTTCAGCGTCGGGTCTCGGAACTCGAGATCCAGCAACATGGCCGCTGTGTGGACGGGTGTCCGGAACATGGTGCGCCGCCTGTCGAACACCTCCAAAATAGCGTCCTGCTGCTCCCGATCGAGGTCACGACACGCAGACAAGCAATATGCGATCATAACCTCGTAACGACGCAAAGTCTTGCTTATCTAGCGTGTGTCGCTATCGACTAGCTTCAACATATCCATGATAGGCTCCAGCATCTTGCACAAAGCTCTCAAATCCAGACGGGGTTGTCTCTCTTGCCGTCGGTTGTCGGATCAACCTTGAACGACGAGTCGAAACTCTTCGTGTTGTGACCTTGTCTGGCGGTATTGGACGAGTCCACCGGATCCTTACTATTCTGGCGTGGCATGCTGAAACGTCGGCACTACAAAAAGACCGCGTCGTAAACCGGAGAGGAAACAGGTGCAGGAAACAGAATCGGAGAGAGAGAGCGACAGTAGAATGCAAAGGAACTGCTGAAAATGTAGAACCAGAAACTGCAGAAAGAACCTGGACACCAAAGCAAAAACAAAAATTGACACACAACGCAGAAATACAGAACAGAACAACAAGAAAAAGACATCAACAACTTTCAACAAGTAAAAACAAACAAGCTGAACCCCAATGTCTGCACCTTCAACTACAAAAAAAAACCAAGAACCTTGAAAAAAACAACAACAAACACACACACACACACACACACACACACACACACACACA